GGCGGAGGAGGAGGCTCAGGAGCAATTGGGGCAGGAAGAGGAGGGGGGAGGGGGAGGAGGAGGAGGAGGAGGAGGAGGAGGAGGAGGAGGAGGAGGAGGAGGAGGAGGAGAGGAGGTGGAGGCAGGAAGGAGGGTGAGGAGGAGGAGGAGAGGTGGAGGCGAAGACGGGGAGGGAGCGCGACGAAGAGGAGCAGTGAGGAGGTACGACGACAGACGGTGAGGAGAAGGATCTGGAGGAGGAGGAGGAGGAGGGAGGAGGAGGAGAAGGAGGAGGAGGAGGAGGAGGAGGAGGAGGAGAAGAAGGAGGGGAGGGAGGGAGGGAGGGAGGGAGGGAGGGGGAGGGAGGCGGGAAGGTATTGCCTGTGCATGGTACGGACAAGCACCTTTTGGCTGCGAAGGTTGCGAAAGAGGAGGGGGGGAGGGAGGCGGGCAGGGAGGAGGCGGGAGTAAAGAGCAGGGAGTGAGGGTGGAGGGGGAGGGGGGGGGAGGAGGGGGGACCAGAGCAGCCCCAGCACGGGAGCGCCTTGACACCGGCGGGACCAGAGCCAAACCACCACCGCAGATTCACGCAACCAGTCACACCGCCCCCCCTCCCCCCAAGAGGGGATGCAGCGCACAGTACAGAGCGGACGTACAACTCTCACCACCCAGCCCTAAAGGCCGTGGCTCGGCTCCGCGGAGGCCGCCGGGAAGGAGGAGGAGGAGGGGAGCGGAGACGGGGCAGGGGAGCGCGTAGAGGAAGCTGGAGGAGTCGCACGACCTCGTCGGTGTGGAGAAGGTGCAGGAGGAGGAGGTGGAGGTGGAGGGGAGGAGGAGGAGGTGGAGGAGAAGGTGGGGAAGGCGGGCGGGGGGGGGCTCGCCTTTGATCCTGGAGGCTACAATGCTCCTGTTGCGACGCTGATCTGCGATGCGCACATGCTGGGGCACACGGGCTGGACTCCAAGGGTGGCCGGTCACAGAATGGAATCGGATGTGGAGGAGGAGGAGAGAGGAGAGCGGAGAGAGGGGAGGAAGAATAGAGGAGCAGGAGCAGGAGCACCAGCAGGAGCAAGAGCAGGAGGAGCAGGAGGAGCAGGAGGAGCAGGAGGAGGGAGGGGAAGAAGAGAGGAGGAGGAGGAGGAGGAGGAGAAGGAGGAGGAGGACCAGGGTAAACACAAGAGTCATCAACAATGTTGGTATAAACCCGTCCTCCAAGATACCTCTTCGTAGGCCCCTACAGCAGTTCGTTTCCACTAAGTGAACTGCCTCGTTGGAAGACAACCGTTTTGAAGACTCTGAAGCATGCCAAAATATTGTTCTCGGGATTCCAACGCCACGGATCAACCTGGTTGTTGCGTCTTGACGATCCTCAATCGTGCCAGAACGCCGTTCCTGGAACTTCAACACCGTTAATCAACGTAACTGTTGCACCCTCATGCTCCTGAACCTTTCCAAAGCACCACTTCTGGTACGATCATCTTAAGAATCCGCGAGACTCTTGCACATTTAAAAACGAATGCGCGCGGCGCTAAAGGCGAGAGTCACATTTTGAAACGGAACCGCCCTCAAGCCGTGAAGCTCTTGCAAATTACATCTTATAATATATATATATATATATATATATATATATATATCCGTAAGGGCTTCGCCCCCTGCCGCCGGCCCCCTCTCTCGAAGAATGGACCATGGAAGAGCGAAGTCATGAGGTGTTGGCTTCACCGTGAAGCAGCGTCGGAACTTCATGCGAAGACGATGGATAATTGGCAAGACGAATGGAGATTGCGAGTCTATTGTTGTGCTCGCTGTTGTATTTTCATTTGCTCCCGTATGCTGTGCCCAAATCTTCTCCCCGAACTTGAACATGTTGGAAGTCTCTTGTGTCCTGACCGCGCGAAAGTACATGAGGGGTGCCCCAGAATTTGAAAAATGTAGCAAATCCTGTGTTTTGGGACCCTGACCTTGTCGATCCGCGTGAGGGGTGCCACCGAATTTCAGAAATGATAAGAGTCTCTTGGGTTTTCGGACCCTGACCCCGCCGATCTGCATGAGGGGTGCCATCGAATTTCAGAAATGTGGCAAATCTCATGTGTTTTTGGACCCTGACCCCGCCGATCTGCGTGAGGGGTGCCACCGAATTTCAGAAATGTTGCAAATCCTTGTTGTTCTTGGACCCTGAACCCGCCGATCTGCGTGAGGGGTGCCACCGAATGTCAAAAATGTGGCAAATCCTTTTGTGCTTTTGCACCCTGACCCCGCTGATCTGCAGGAGGGGTGCCACCGAATGTCAGACATTAGCAAATCTCTTATGTTTTAAGACCCTGACCCCTCCGATCTGCGTGAAGGGTGCCGGGAAATTTCAAAAATGTGGCAAATCTCTTGTGTTTTTGGACCTTGGCCCCGCCGATCTGCGTGAGGGGTGCCACCGAATTTCAGAAATGTAGATAATCTCATGTGTTTTTGGACCCTGACCCCGCCGATCTGCGTGAGGGGTGCCACCGAATTTCAGAAATGTTGCAAATCCCTTTTGTTTTTGCACCCTGACCCCGCCGATCTGCGTGAGGGGTGCCACCGAATGTCAAGAATGTAGCAGATCTCTTATGTTTTTGCACCCTGACCCCGCCGATCTGCGTGAGGGGTGCCACCGAATGTCAAAAACATGGTAAATCCCATTTGTTCTTGGACCCTGACTCCGCCGATCTGCGTGAGGGGTGCCAGGAAATTTCAGAAATGTGGCAGATCCCATTTGTTTTTGGACCCTGACCCCTCCGATCTGCGTGAAGGGTGCCACCGAATTTCAGAAATGTGGCAAATCCCATTTGTTTTTGCACCCTGACCCCGCAGATCTGCGTGAGGGGTGCCACCGAATTTCAGAAATGTTGCAAATCCCTTTTGTTTTTGCACCCTGACCCCGCCGATCTGCATGAGGGGTGCCACCGAATGTCAGAAACGTGGCAAATCTCGTATGTTTTTGCACCCTGACCCCGCCGATCTGCGTGAGGGGTGCCACCGAATGTCAAAAATGTGGTAAATCCCATTTGTTCTTGGACCCTGACTCCGCCGATCTGCGTGAGGGGTGCCAGGAAATTTCAGAAATGTGGCAGATCCCATTTGTTTTTGGACCCTGACCCCGCCGATCTGCGTGAGGGGTGCCACCGAATTTCAGAAATGTGGCAAATCGCATTTGTTTTTGGACCCTGACCCCGCAGATCTGCTTGAGGGGTGTCAATTTTTATTCACCCCAGCAATTCAGACAACACGCTCCAGTCGTTCTAAATCTGCCTGTTTGGGCCTCCACCCCCTCGCGCGGTCCATCAACAAGGAACAGCAAGCAGCAAGAAGCAGAACTGTCACAGTGGAAACTGGAAGCTGCAACTGGCACAGGAAACTGCGAACCTTCGGCCTACATCCTGGTGGCCCCACAAGGGGGCCGGCGGATAATACGGCGCTAAGGCGAGAGCCACATGTTGAAAACGGGTCGCCTTCAACCCGTGAAATTCTTACAGTTCCGCGGCGCTAAGACGAGAGCCGCATTTTGAAAACGGCCCGCCCTCCATTTGCAGGACGGTTGCCAGTGTTTGAGCTTCAGCGTCTTCAATGGTGAGGGATTCTCAGGCGAGGCACCCGGCCGGCCCGCCCCAAAAACTGGCCTCGGGGTGCGACAGGCAGAAGTTACTTATAAGGAAATGGAATGGAGGAGGAGGAAGAGGAGGAGGAGGAGGAGGAGGAGGAGGAGCAGGAGCAGGAGGAGGAGCAGGAGCAGGAGCAGGAGCAGGAGCAGGAGCAGGAGCAGGAGCAGGAGCAGGAGCAGGAGGAGGAGGAGGAGGAGGAGGAGCCCGAGCGAGAGGGCCCCGCGGTCGAGGTGCCGTCGAGGTGGACTGACCTGGCGGGGCCGCGCGGCGGACCACATGGGGGCGCGAGCGGCAGCCCGAGGGGCGGGAGCGCAAGGCTGCAGCGTCTGTGGGCCCAGAAAGTGCTCCTCCTCCTCCTCCTCCTTCACTCCTCCCTCCCCTCCATCCTGCCTCCGCCTCATTTCCCCCATCCTCCTTCCTCCTCAACTCCTCCTCCCTCATACTCTCCTCTCCTATCCATTCCTCTCCTCCTACTCCTCCTCCTTCGGCGCCTCCTCCTACTCCCTTCCTTCCTCCTCCTCCTCCTCCTCCTACTCCTCTTCATTCCCTCTCCTCCTACTCCTCCTCCTCCTCCTCCTCCTCCTCCTCCTCCTCCTTCTCCTCCTCCTCCGTAGCCATTTTGGCTCAAGCCATTTTGGCTCAAGGGCCCGAGGGGGGCCCGTGGCGGGGCGCGATTCGCAGCGGCGCAGCCCCGCCGAGCTGAATGGCTGCCGCCTGGGAGGACTGATGCTGCAGCTGGTCGTCGGCTCCAGCGTCATCGGCCGCATCGGCCGCAACGTGCGCTCCTTCGCCGAGGACTTTGGTGACCTGACCAAGCTGACGGTCGTGATCTTCGACGATGACGGCACTGTCTGCCCTTGGTTGGGGGCTGGAAAGCCCGCTGGACCAGAGGGCGGCGAGGGCCATGGTGCTGGACATGCGGCAGGAGGTGCGCATGTACCATGGCCAGGTGCTGTAGTGGCTCGAGCACAAGCACAAGAGGCCCAGGACTCCGCCGCGGAGGTCGGCGGCATCTTCGAGGCCAATGGTGGATGCAGGCGGGAGGGTGCCCTCGGAGTCGCGCTCCCCGATCCGCCGCAGGCCCTGGGTCAACACCAACGGGAGGACGAAGAAGAAGGAGAAGCGGAAGAAGCAGAAGAAGGAGGAGAGCGCGTAGCCCACGGCGCACCCCACGGTGTTGCTTGGCTCCGCGCAGAGGCGGCGCCTGCTCGCAAGGAAGCTGTTCGAGGCGCAGAAGAGGGTGAAGCTCAGGGCCGCCGAGGCCCCCCGGGCTCACCTGCTGGCGTTCGGGCGCTGGGCGTTCCTCGGCTGCATCAAGGAGCAGGTGAGCGCCGCCCACCTCCAGACGGATCCAGATCGGCTGCTCGGTCCGTGCTTCGCCGCCTAGCGGAGCTGGATGTGGACGGCAATGGCTGCGCCACGGTGGCGGAAATTCGCCTGCTGTTCGCCCAGATGGAGGCCTCCCTCCGCGGCAAGGGCGAGGAGGACCCAGCTCCCGACCTTGAGGTGTTTCAGGGCACCTTGTTCGACAGCTACGGCGTGGACCTCGAGGAGTACGACGTGAGCGTGCAGCACGACGTCGATGGCGACGTGAAGATGCTA